TAGCCGAACTTCGATGCTCGATTGTTTTCATGGACATTACTGTAAGTCTTAGTCCCCTTTCAAATTCTCATCATTAAACTTCCTTGGCGTGCGGGCAACCCCCTTTTCGAGCTCTAGTGTTTTCAGACTTGATTTCAAAAAGGGGTTGACTGTAAGCTCACAATCCATGTCAAATGGGTATTTGCTGAATGGCCCAGATGGAATGCGATACGATGATGATTGGTACCTTTAGAATGTGAAAGGGTAATGAACGAAAGAGAGCGACAACAAGAGCGGCACCGACGTCGATAGGGGATACTCGCGTTATGATCGGATGGGTTCGCGTGAGGGTTCTTCCTCTCTTGTACCCCGGCTACTACTGGCCTATCAGTCTTCTGTCTCGACAATCACGCTTCGATCATCACCGAAATGGGTCCAGCCTTGGGAAAACCGCCCTTCATCATCTGTTTACGAAAAACAAGTAGACCCGATCTTAACACTGATTTATCGCCGCACCGCTTTGGTCTCAATCGCGTGACACTTTCACTTTTGCTCAACCCACAAATGATCCGAGCACTGGACAGCAGAGCCTATATCGGTGAAGAGTCAACAGTGACAGGAAACAAAAAAGGTGCGCCCGGCCGCAGAACGCAGCCGAGCGAGACTTAGCAACTGAGCTAAACGGACAGGCGCTGTGTAAGCCTGCTGATTCGCAGGGTTTGCCAAGGCTTGAAATTGAAAGGCAAACAAGAATGAGATTATGAAGGGAAATTAGATAGGCTGAGGTGTTCCGCTCCATATATTCAATGTTGAATTTGCCTTCAAGGGTCTGGAAACCATGTGAAGATAAGCTGTAGAATAATCAGCGAGGGCTGCACTCGCCATGTGCGATGTAAGGAGGTTCGTAGCTGTTGATTGCTTCCACATTGTTGCCCAGAATGTGTGGCATGAAGCGGAGTGGGGATATCTGGATGCTATTGCCTGGAATCAGATGCTCAGACAAAAGGATGCTCGCTCTGCGCACGGATTCTCATGGGCTTACTCGCACTCAGATGATTCTCGCCAAAAAAGCTGTAGAAGAGCGAACTGTAATTTTGTGGCAAACCTAAACCTTTGAAGGACTCACGAAGAAAATACGTAAGTAAGGTCAGGAAGTAAAATACTTAACAGGCGATTATTAAGGCCAGTAAATAAAATAATCAAGCAGATATAATCGCTCAGGTGAAGGGTAGAGATGAAACAAAGGCCGGTGTCTTAAGCGCACCCATTTGGTTTGTTCTCGGCTTTCAGCGCGTTCCGTAGAATTTCTCGAAACGGGGCATTTTCAGAATCGCGTGAAACAACAAACACTGGACATTCTTGCGATTATACGTCGCGAGGATTAAGGAGAAGTGAGTTGTAGACGTCTGCTGGCTTCATAAATTTCATCGCATAGTGCCACATTATGCAACTCAATAGGCCGTGTCGTCTAAGGAAGAAATGTGCATACCGCATCGCGCAAAAAAAGTTGATCAGTATGAAAACTTTATACTCCGTCCCGTTAGGAAAAACAGAATGATCCGCCAGCGCATTTTTTTATTATGGCGGCTGTACTGTGATAAAAAAAAAAAAAAAAAAAAACAAAAAAAAAATATAATTGCACGAAAAAACAAGAAGCATTTTACATAATCTATGGAGAAATATATGTTATGGCCTATTTGTTTATTCAATTATCATTTATTTGTGAATTTATTTTCTTTAATTTACTTTGGATTTATTTTTTCAGGATCCGTAAACAAAAAACGTGAGTCACATAGCTTCAATGAGTCCGTCACTTTTCGAGTCAGCAATGGGAGAATAACATGTCTCCTCACAGGAAAGGTCAACAGGTCGCCATGGCCATTCAAGATGAGATGTATATCGACGTGGGTCTTGGGACGCTGAACTCAATTCTGCTTCCAAAATTTGCTGAATGGGGGACTCTATGAGGAGTTTAGAGGGGTTGGTGTTTTAGCATAGCACTCGCCGATGCTCCTTTGCGTAGCTCAAGTTAAGTTCGAGTTCAGAAAGATTTAAGTGGTCGATGGTGTAGTGGATAGGTAGGTTGCTTCATAGGTGGGAGGTCATGGGTTCGATTCCATGGCAGGTTTGGATTTTTGCATTTTTTCGGAACATCTTCTGTGAGTTCAGAAAATACTTTTATCCGTTATTTTGTCAACCTTGCTCTTACTTGCAGCAGAAAAAGACTCATTGCCGGCAATACTGCTTTCGCTTTGAAAGAGTTTTTAGGCAAGTGTCGCCTTTACTGCCTATATCACCGAAAGCAGGCAGGTTTTTGTCTGACTTTTTCTTCGTGAGTAATTGCTGAAGTTTGCTCATACTAGGGTATTCTGCTATCTGAACATGATTAACATCGCTCGACACGAAACCTCCTCGCACCCTGTCACAGGCGCAGCGCAAAAATACCTCGATCACAATGTTTCGTTGAAAAACTTGGTCATATCTGGGGCAGTTTTGACACCCTAAACAGAATATCACAACCCTAAGTCTGAAACGCATGACGGCATAAGCACAGCGCCGCATCACCTCCGACTGCTCAACTTGTTCGACTCCGGGTGTGCAGGATAGACTCCAGTGCTTTCGTGCGAGGCTCTCTGCTAGGGCAGTTGGGCAAATTGGCCGGAATGAGCACCACTCTTCCTGGTTGCCTGTCATAGAAATCCTTCCCTTTGTTGATATTCAGCTCACAGGGAAAAGGCCCCATCTCAGGGGAGGGTGCAGCTCGCTGCGCAATCACATTATCCCTTTTCTTCTATCCCGAACGTTCTCAGCGCCCCATACAATGTGGTGTTCGTGTTCAGGAGGTCAAACTGCTCCATTTGAAAAGTTCAGTGATTCTGGTGATTTCGAGTATTATGTCGCCGGCGCCAGGCATTTCCGGGCTCAGCTAATGGAATATTCGTGTTTAGGGGGTCAAACTACCCCAGTTGACAAGTTTTCAACGAACTTGGTGATCGATTTAGTTTTTGGCGGTTGGCGGCCTGTTGCACGGCGAGGAGGTTTTCCTGGCCGATTCGGATTGATTAATCATTGTTCAGATAGGCAGGAATCTGTAGGTTTTTGGCAGCTTTTCAGCCACTTCTGCTCAGCGTAGAAAATTCAGACAAAAACTGCCTGCTTTCGGTGATATAGCAGTAAAGGTGAACACTGCCTAAGCTCTTCAAAGCGAAGCAGTATTTGGCGCTATTGATTTTTTCTGCTGGCAATTAAGAGGAAGAGTTGACAAATAAGATAAAAGATTTCTGAACTCACAGAAGAGTTCGAAAAAATGCAAAAATCCGAGACATGCACGGATCGAACCCATGACTCCTGCATATGAAGCGAACTTACTATCGCCTTACACCATCGGACAATGAGCCTTTCTGACTCGAATTAATTAGCTACGCAAGAGGATGCCGGCGAGTGCTTATTCTAAAACACACCGCGCCCTAATCTCCTCACAGAGTAATCCTTCAGGCAATTTTGGAAGCAGATTTGAGTTCATGCGTCAAGGACCTACAGACGTCGATATAACATCTATTTGAGATGAGCCATGGGACTGTTGACCTTTTCCTGGTCAGAAAGCAAAAAAGAACAAAAATAAATAAGAAAATATGTTAAACAACCTGCTAAGGACCAAGACAAGGTCGTCAGACAACGCATAATTAACCAGACAGTGAAGCTTGCATGTGACGGCGTTTGAAGGTCAAACTTGGGGGGGGCAGTCCTGGAAAATCATCGTCGCACTACCTGATCAAAGATAGGAGGGGGCCTCAAAAGTATCAATGGGGTAGGAAATGTATGCTATGGAGTGCTGTTCCATTTATTTTAACTTCAGTGTTATCTTTTTGATGAATTTTGTAGAAACGTTGAGTTAAACGTATTGGGCGCTCTTCGGCTAGGAGGAGGGGAATTCCGCTTTTTGCTAGTTCTTCTCACAGTATACGTCTTGCCTTTATAGGGCTTTCAGACCCTCATCAGGTATGACCGAAGCTTATGCTATTGCGCAGCTTCACAAGATTTTACAGGTCTCCACAGGAGGATCGACAGTGATTAATGGGAACGAGCGAAATGCCCCCACCAGTCCAACTACGCCAAGCGTGGTACACTTCAAGGGAGATTTGGTGCAGTTGCAATCGGGCCCGAATAGTTCATAGCTCTACGCCAAACACGCACTCCGTTCTTCAGATGTTGACAATTGGTGACATATTTCTGGGGGAAGGGGAGTTGAAGCACCTGCTTACCCATTGTTTTGTCCCTCAAATCATTGCATAGCCCATACAGGCATTCAAATGCCACTTCCAGCAAAACTTGGGAGGTGCTAACACTGAGGAAGAGGGAGACATCCTGTGAGCTTTTGCATTGTGTGTCTTTGCCCTTCTTTTTTCTTTTATCTTTTCACAATCGTGTCTCGACCAGCAAGTCCTGCAAATTTCTATGAAGTACTCCGCGAACACCTGAGCGTCTCGAAATGGAACTAGCGTCATTGGACCGCCATTACTCCATTTATTCCAAATTTTGACCAGACATTTTGACAAGTTTGACAGGAGCCTAAAAGTTGCTCGACGGGTGATAACTAGGCTTACAGGGTGCTAACGAGGTTGTCCGCTATTCACGCGTATAGAGTTTGGTATGTTGACAAGCGCCTGCAGATGTACCTCCCCCCCCCCCAAGGTTATTGGCACTAGCTGGGAAGAAGGGAGTGATCGCGATCAGAGCAACTGATAGAAAACCCTTCCAATTAACTCGGGAGAGCTTCGACTTAAACGAAGTCCCACTGCGCCTCAAATCCCCGCTGCCAACCCCTGCCAACCCCCGGGTCTCTGATATGTTTTGCGATGCTTTTAATCAGGAAGTGCAAGGAAAAGAAACTGTGACGAGCGTGGATGTTCCCACCGTTTTTTCGGGAAAGGTATGCGATTTCGACAGGTCGCCTGCTCCGGTTCCGTCTGCGCTCCAACTAGGCGCGGGTGGTGGTGGGATGGTGGCGTGGGGGTGACGAGATGGTCAACGAGGTGGAGGCGGAGTCGCCGTCTCGATCAAGTACAAAAGGCGCACAGCGGTCATCCACAACATCCATCCAGCTCCCTCTCACATCTCCTTCTCAAAGCGCGTCAACAAAGAGAGAAATGGAGTCTGACGGCCGAACGAAGGCCTACAAATTCGTCGCCTATGCGGCCGTCTCATTCTCGATTGTCGCTGTACTGTCTGTAGTACTCACATTACCTATGGTCTACAATTATGTGAACCATGTACGACGACAAATGCAACACGAAATCTCCTTCTGCAAGGTAACCTTATTTCATTTCCGTTCTTTTTTCCTATTCATTACGTTTTTTCTTTTGGTTTATTTTATTACTTTCACTTTCCCATTGATTTCGATCCTTCAGGGATCCGCTAAGGATATTTTCGCTGAGGTCAACTTTATGAAAGCCCATACCGGTCCCTCTGCTCCAAGAAATCGTACTACCCGTCAGTCCGGCTACGGCGCCCCAGAAGTAAACCCAGCAGCAAATCTCCAGTGCGAAGGCTGCTGTCTTCCCGGCCCACCTGGTCCTGCTGGAGTGCCCGGAAAGCCTGGAAAGCCCGGACGCCCTGGAGCACCTGGTACCCCTGGAGTACCCGGCAAGCCACCTACTGCACCATGTGAGCCCACCACTCCACCACCATGCAAACCATGCCCACAGGGACCACCCGGACCTCCCGGACCTCCAGGACCACCAGGAGACCCAGGAGAGGCTGGAACCCCAGGACGCCCTGGAACCGATGCACCCAACGGACAGCCCGGACCTCGTGGACCACCTGGACCAGCAGGAGAGCCTGGACAGCCCGGACCTCAAGGAGACCCAGGAGTGCCAGCACAGAGCGAGCCACTCACACCCGGAGCACCCGGAGAGCCCGGAGATCCAGGTTTGTTGCCGCTTAAAATACATTCCTATTATACTTTCACAGAGAGTCGCTCTACAGGATGTACAATACGAATATGTTTTAGGACCACCAGGACCTCCTGGACCCCCTGGAGCACCCGGAAACGATGGAGCACCTGGACCAGCTGGACCCAAAGGAGCCCCAGGACCAGACGGACCACCTGGAGTGGATGGACAAGCCGGACCTCCAGGACCACCTGGACCACCTGGAATTCCCGGAGAGAAAGGAATCTGTCCCAAATACTGTGCCATCGATGGTGGAGTGTTCTTCGAAGACGGAACTCGTCGTTAAATCAACCAACGACATGGACGTCTTCTACTCGCCAGATGACTTGCTGGGACAATGGCGTCGCCAAGCTGTCACTGGTGCTTCCACTTATCTCCTCGTCACTCTCTCATCACTTTTTCGGTGCAATCAATCTACCTGAGTCGCTAATAAAATCTCGTGTCCTTATTTGACACTCCCGCTGTTCTGTTCCACCACGTCTTCATAGCGTACACCTTTCACGGTACGCGCCTTAAATCAACACAATTATTGATCGACAAACTGATCAATATTCTTCTATACATTGAGTCATTGAAATGCTATGCATGTGCATTTCGTGTCTTTCGTAAGAGCTTGAAGAGCTAAGCGGTTTCAACAAATGCTATTGATGCTTCGCATATGGTCGCCATAGAAACGTTGTGTACATTGAACTATGAGTTATCGATTAGTCAAGAATTTAATAAATGTAGCAAAATGAAAAGTACACACATTCGATTGATTTCGCACGGCTGGGGGAGGAACGTTTGGGATTCTCGATGAGTGTCGCCGGGTCGCAGACGAGCTGCTGATGTCGCAGCCGTTAAGTCACTTAGCAAGTTTTAGTCAGTCAATGTCACATTTGTCCGAGATCTGCACGACGTAAAGATCCTCAATGAAAAACGAGAGAAGGGAAAACGGAAGGAAACGGTCACGCGGGATCACTCCAAGACGTCAGGGATTTGCTACGTTTATCAGGGTATCAGCTAGGGGAACCTCGTTAGATTCAAGTTGGTCCCATCTCCTTTGCCCGATGCACAAGCGGGACCTTATTGATTTGACGGGTAATCGAAGGACATTTATGCTTCCAGAGGAGCGTAAATTTGCCCTTCACTTCCCAGTCCAGAATAAATCTCCCAGACTCAGCACTGCCGTCAGGGTTAAGCGACCCGCCTGACCTGTGCTCCGCAATGGAGTTATTTAGGCTTGCAAGATGGATCACTTGGGATCTTGAGGCATAGAGCCCGATAAGTTGGTACTCGGTCCAAAATGGTAGCAGGGGTGCTATATAGTAGTAAAATGGCCAAAAAGCGAAGGGAAACGGTCAAAAACTTGCAAAAAGCTTTGTTCTACATGACTCAAGAAGCAATTTCGGACGAGTTCCCGTTGGCATCGTGCCAATAACCGCTACGGTAGATACGGTGCATGTATGTACTCATATATCCATGCAGCACCGCAGCCGCTTCATATCAATCCCTTCGCTTCATACTGCGCCTCGCAAATGGAAGTGATTTAAGCATCAGCATCGGTCGGACATTGTGGGCGGGCGGGTGCGGTGGGCGTCCAGGTGGGCGTCCAGGTGTTGCAGCTTGATGGGGCGCTACAAGGATACGCAATCCCTGTTCAAGAGTGCCGAATTTCGTCCTGCTGGACGTATTAATCCTATACTTATTGCTCGGGAATTTATCTTGCCACTTGCGTTTGACGGATGGCAGGTTTACACCGTGGTATTCATCTTTAAAGGCAGTTGGCACGATAAATCGCTATACAGGTGTAGGATTTGTACAACTGGCTTAACAGAATTCCGTGACCTCGGACAGGCGCTGCGTGAAGCCTTTTCCAAGGAGGGTACCTCTATAACGCCCTATTGAGCAACAACTTTACGTCCCAAACGCCTTCCTTGCCCGCCCGCCCACAAACGGACGACCGTTTCTGACGCTCGTATTCATTCATTTGCTGAGCAAATTATGAAGCAAAGGGATTGGTATGAAGCGGCCGTGATGCTGCATGCATATATGGGTACACATATGCAGCCGTATCTTCGGTAGCGGTGATTGGTAAGATGCCTACGGGAAACTCGTCCGAAATCGATTTACAAGTCACTGAGAACGGAGGCTTTTTCTTCGCAGGATTTTGACCGTTTCACTCCGTTCTTTCGCCATTTCCCCACTATACAGCGCCCTACTAGCATTTTAGGCTAAGTAGGAAACCATCGTGCCAACTGCCTTTAAATGGGTCTCTCCGCCTCACCGAAAGGGTTTTCTGGAATATGTGGTGAAAAAAAGATGAGAGTGGGATATGCCGAGCACCGTTCCTCCACACCGTGTTGTGTAACTCCTTCGACGAGAAGGCCTGTCGCAAGCTAACTCGAACATGTCCCCGAGAAGCCCCCCGCCGCCGCGGTTGAATTCTAGGGGAAAGCTGCACTTCTAACTGCTCCCCAATGGGCACGCGGTAGCTGCTACGACATTAAGTAAGCTTCTTCTTGAGAAGCAGCCGAAACGAGCTTTGAGGCGTCTTCTTCGCGAAAATCCGAGGACCCACATTGCAGAGAAGACCTATTGGAAAATTGAAGAGCGAGATTATTACAGAATCCTTCTTCTCTGAACTCCTGATATTCCTCTTATGACCGTCAGTTGTTCCGCCTATTAAACACCCGATGTGCGCTCTCGTGCGACATGGATTCTTCCCATGTGCGAGACAGTTAAGTCCGCAGATGTCGAAATATGCCAGTTTGCCCGCCCGGAAATGGATAGGAATGAAGCTAGCTGGTGGGAATAGCCGAGTCTTATTTCATAACTCCTGCACATCACGCCGCAAGCACACTACACTCCCCGCGTCTAGCCGTGGCTTGTCTGCACCCTCTCAGGTATGACTGTGGCGCAGTTGCCCTCTACAGCTCTTTGGCAGCGTACCTGGGCAAGAAGTCCATCTTGGACCCGAGAAAGAAGTATTCAAACCATGCTGTAGCATTATGCAGTAGTTTAGTGCTGAGAACTAGAAGTATCAGACTGGAAGGAAGGTACTGCGTTTGTTTAAAAAAAGACCGGAAGTTTTGATTCCTGATCGATACCTGTAATGCATCACGTTGTAGTTGTCATACACTCTCAGAGGCTCTCCGTAGCCAGCTAACCTCCTTCAGAAACATACCGTACACTCACCTTCGAGGACAGACCTTGTAATATGTATGGGAAATTTGTCCGCAGCTGCTCACCGTGTCACTTTCTGTGATCAAAAGTGCACGAGAACGGCGTGGGAGGGTATTAACGTCTCCGCTCGCACTGCCGCCAGCTACATGCCTAACCACAGCCGGAGCCCTCTTACCTCTTGTTATTCTCTACATGTGAGTGCGTTCGGGATTCTGATATCGAATCGAGTGAATATTCATCCGTAAGAGACTCATTTTTCGCCTAATAAGAGGAGTCTCTAAAAGATCTGGTGGAAGAAGATGAGTGTTGGGTGCTCCACGCATCCATTCCACACCAAGTCATGTGGTTCCCTCGAGAAGAAGACCCACTTACCCACGTCAAGTCAAGCATACACCCTATAAAGGTCCTCCTACTGCACCTAAGGTACGGGGGATGCTGTTCTTCGACACTCGATCACCGCCGTCACTTATGTCACAAGGTAAGCTATAGAAACTCAGCGAAGCTATTCTCGAAAACCAGACAACACGAGCTTCATGGCATCTTCGTGATAACTCGAGAACACCTACTACATAGAAGACCTATCGAAAAATTTAATAGCAAGGTTATCACAAAATTCTCTTCAGCTCCGATTTCCGATACTCCCCAGCCCACCTGTTCCGCTTCCTGAACACATGATCCATGCAACGTGCGACATGGATTCTTCCCTTAGCGAGTCAATCAGGCCCGCAGATGTCGAAATATGCCAGTTTTCTCGCCCGAAAATGCGTAGAGATGAAGCTGGTGGGTGTGAAGGAAACGGATATTCTTCCCATAACTCCTCCCGCAAATCCTGTCACAGGTACAAAGCCACTTCTAAAGCACTGCTCACGTGTAACCTTTCACGTTTAACTGCGACACCATCGTTTCCTACACTATTCGCTGCGCTACTGTGGCAGTTGTACTCTCCGCTGTAGCGAGTTGGAGCATTTAAAAATCGCTCGACGACCGTCTGTCCAAGTATGCAGCGAAAAGAGCAGTCCAGAGGCAATGTTAATACCTCAGTCACCACCTGCGATATTTTAGTCAAAACCGGTGTCAAAGTGATTTCATTAAACTAAAGTTTTGGCCAGTCACATTCCTCAGAGCGCGGAGAGGGGACAGTTCAGCGGCGGGGAAGGAGCGATGGGAGACGGTACGCGTAGTTTGCATTTTTTATACTACTCAATCGTAGGTCGGCCGTGTCGAGCCTATCCAGATTACAGAGTTTACAAGAGTTGTATTGTGGTCTCGAACGAGTTGTCAGGGCACATCGTTGTTGGGGATTCCCCAACGGGGGGTCGTATTTGGCCGCTGGGGAGGGGGGTCGTAATTAGTCCCTCAGTAACGAGCAGCGCGAAGGTGTCAGTAAGCTGGTCCTGTACAGCGAAACTTGCTTTGTAGAGAACCCGCATGTGTAAAAAATAGTACAAAACTTTCGTTGACTGAACTAATCCAAATTAACTGGAAACGTTATGAGTTGGCGTCATTTCCCGTAGTACAATAGCATGTCCTAAAAACCAGTACAACTCATACTGGTTCGCTGCTCTATGATGGCGCGAGTTTTCCGAGCGACTCGCCGCTTGGTACGGCGCCAACCTGTTTTTTTTTCTTTCGACAAACGACAAGACTACCATATTCGTTCGCGCCAGACTTTTTCCAGCAGTTGGTTTCTTTATCGGACTTAACAAGTGGTGGAGCCGAACTGACGGCGTATCTTCGTTGCGCGGGACACGCCCATCATCCGCAACAGACAAGAGTAAACAAGGAGCGTAGGTCGGCCATGGACCTCCCAATCCTATTAGGTCATCCCATTCAAACTGGCCGCTACATATAGAGGAATGGCAGAAAAGCAAAGGGGATAGAGCAGCGGGCTACTATACCATTTGGAAGCTAGTACCTTAAGCTGTGTATCTGTGAAATTTGGCGAACCTAGCCTCTGAAGAAGTTCTCGAGAAATTGAAGAGAAGCCCGAGTGGTGAAAATCGGCGCCGGTTTTTCAAATCAGACGTCATAAAAGGAAAGTGCGCTGCTCAAATTTGACCTGCGCCGGACCATAGTTGTGTGTAAGGGTGTTCTCGAAATACACGGTGGAAGATCTGGTTC